GATAAGTTGTCATAGAAGTCATCCAACGGTAAGCCCAGCAAACGTGATGTTTCGACGGTGTCAGACTATAGGGAGAGTGGTATCACTTGTGTGGGGTTAGCTAGGCACGCAAGGAGGTGGTTAGTGTCAAATATTAGAAATGTCAGGGTAGATTCTGGATAAGTAAGATGATGCTACAGCATCCAGAACAAAGCTGCGCAAGGGTTAATCTCGATTCTCGCTACAACTCGAGTTCTTCGTCTTCAATGGGTGTTGGTTTGACCCAAGTACTTTTGTTGTGTTCGAAGTCTGTCGGTGTATTGTTGTTGTACTCTGTGCGATTTGTAAAAAATGCATATAAACCACTGTTTTAATCGCTTCTGGCGGGCTCTATCTTTTCTTTGACGAAAATGTTCCTTTGACCGGAAACCGGACAATTGGAGTAGACCTGCCAGTGAGTTAACCTGTGATGTCGATAAGGAAAGCAGTGCTGCCTGGCAGGTTGCTTTCTGTATCCTCCAGTAGTCATTCAATAGAACTTCATAGGCCTTCTCTATATCTAGTACCATACTTGCGCTTGGAAGATGCTGGCTGAGCTTGGTTAGCGGATAGAAATAGAGGTGGATGATTGTTGTCATTGGAGTATACCCCGGCTCCTACTTTGCAGTTCAATTGGGACGCGTCGGTAAAGATTGGGATGCCTCTAGACGTGAATGGAAAAGAGGTATATTAAGGAAGGAGGAACTATATCTTCCCAAGATTAGGTTTCAATGGCCACCTTCAGGTGCAGATTCCGAGGATCCTAGGTGGATTCTCAGGTTCTCAGATTCTCAGGTGGAATCGACATCTGAAAATGACCATTGAATTCTAACCTTTGGAGGATATAGTGTGATTTGCTTATATTTAGCTGATTTAGGGTGGCATTATGTACGTACTCTTTCCGGCTTCATCTTCCTAATTCCCTAATTCTAATAGCAGACCTCGCTACTTTTAGAGTACACATGGCTATGGACAGCTGATGCTACATACGCTATATAAGTATATAAAACTGTAGATATACAGACGAAAATACATATTTATACTGATGTTTGTTGTAGGTATACGAGCACTAACTTTCGAAACTAAAAATACCAGGCAACTGTGTACAGATATCAATAAAAACAACTTTGTAATAACAACTTGTATGTACGCATTTTAAAATTATTATAAATATGTATGTAGATGTGCTTACAAATGTATGCATGTAAACAAGTGTGAATGTGTGTTTGTGGGCATAGTTCAAAAATTAGGCACGAAGGATGTACGAGAAGCACTAAAAATTGTACATCTACTTAGGTGTGTAAGTGGGTGGCTGATGGTCTGGCCGAATTACACATTAGAAATATATATATATGTACATATGTACATATGTGTGTGTGTGCTATTATTGTAGCAGTGCTGTTCGTCCTTTCGTCTGTCGCATGAATATTTAGTTTAATTTTGAGGGTGGCACTCATGTGCACAATGAGGCCAAATGACTTTTTGCACTCCACACGCTGCACACTGCCAGCCACTCGGTTTTCGGGAGCTTTCGAACACATCACAGACACACACACACCAGCTAGTTAATATTTGTGTAAGTGGAACTTGTATGTATGTTTGTTGATTTGAATTTATGCATGTGTGTGTGCTATGGTCACCGGGTAGTTAAAGGAATGTGCTATGCTGATAATCTATGGGTGTTGATGGGTGGACGTTGGGAAGCGCATTGGTATGCGGAAAAGGGTGTATGTACTTAGATATGTTTTGTATGTATGTATGTGGGTTTGTATGTATATTTACATGTATGTCTGTAGTCTATATGAACAAGCACATTGCCTGGGGACTAAAATTTTGTAACGATTTCGCTCAATTCAGCCACAAAACTTTTACAGAAAAGATTATTACATATGTAAAGGTGTGTGTGTATATATAAATAAATACATATAAACAAGTGTAGAAATATATCTATATACACATAAATTATTTTAACACTGCTCTACCCCACAATTTGTAAGCTTTAAAAGACATAGACATGAGTACCAATGAACACACCTTCATACAGGCATACATATGTATATGAATGTGCAAGTGTAGTGTATGTATGTATGTACCCGTATGTGGCATACAATTATTTTACATGCCCTTACACATACATAATTACATACATACATATACATATATTTTATATTTGTTACTGTCGATATTATGACTGCTATTATAGCAGTGAGGTTATGTAGAAGGTTGCTGGTCGTCGTTGTAAATTGTTGTAAGACTGTATATATCGAATATACGTATTAGTATGTTTGTAAATGCATATCTAATAACCAAAAATTCATATTTCAATACATATGGACAATTGTAAATTTTGGCAGGTGTCTACACAGGATCTACAAACATAGCGTTTACAAGTGCACATTAACTATTAACACAACAATATGTATAAATAAATATGTATAGTACATATTTACCACATAAGTACCATATGTAACCCGTTACATACACACTTGCATGCAAATTTCATACACAATGTGACTCAAGCCGGGCGACTACCCATCATATTCACATGAAAGGCATACTATTACACATATGTACATATGTTTGTATATGGTGAATATATAATAAATATTTTAAAATGGAAATTGTGAAAACTACTACATGCACTCGCAAAAACACACACAATCACATATTAAAGTACATACATACATAACTGTTCGATTACATGACACTATTGAGATGTATATAACTATTTAGTTTATTTATATATTCATGTATATGTATATACACATAAGACCACTATATACCTGTATATATTATATTATAACGGTATGCAATTCACATGCTCTCATCTGGTCGCAGGTACAGTAACCACGATAAATACAGGTGAATATTGTGATTGAAAAATTGAGTATAACCACAGGGTGGTGCCGTCAACCGTTCGGCAAAGTGAACTGGCGAACCTTCTTATTTCACACCATCAATAATAGATGGGAATCCTTATAATATTAAAAGTACATCGGCACTCACATATGCATGTATATTATATAACACTGTTGCTGACTATCGATTGAGCATTAATAGTTTCGCTAAATTTACTTTTAGTACTCAAAGTATGGATACATGCTGGACTGAAGGTCTAGTCCTGCGAAAATAGAAATATTTCTCTAAAAGAACTAATAATGATCGTTAACAGTGAGTTAGATAGTTTCGAGAGAAAGGTTGTGCGAAAGATGTATGATCCTTTGCGTATTGGGAATGGCAGGTATACGACTACATTGACAAAGTTTAGCGACAGTGGCTACGCTGGCTAGGTCATGTTGTCCGGATAAAAAAGAACACTCCAGCTGAGAACGTTTTCGATTCAGTACCCGGCGGTAGAAGCAGAGGAAGGAACAGGAAAGAAGAGGATTAGGTGGAGAAGAACTTAGCTAAACTTGACATATCCAATTGAAAACTCGGTTATAACCATGAAAGCGGAAAGCGGTGTATACGCCAATAAAGATCTTCGGCTGTTTGTTGAGATTGCAGCTGCTCGACGTCGAACCTTTCTTGTGTTTGTTCACGTGAGTTTTTCGCTGTACATAGGCGGGTCCAACAAGATAGCGGTCCGAGTCAATGTTGGGACCTCGGAGCTTACGCACGTCTAAAAAACTGGAAACGTGTTTTCCGTCTGTCACAACATGATCAATCTGGTTGGTGGTGTCTTCGGAGACAGTCAGGTAGCTTGATGAGTTTTTCTATGCTGGAATCCGGTACATCATACTTGTATTTCGAGTTTCGGCGAAGTCGATTAGCCTCAGTCCATTTGGAAAAGTGGAAGCGGCTGAAATCACCGACCGTTATTCTAAAGATACCGTTTTAGTTTAGGTTAGGTTAAATTGGACAGCTTAAAACGCTGGTTCTCTGTGATACAAAAAATTCCTAATTGACCGTAATGATTCTCACAATGCGACAAATCGCTTTGAGTTCAACACAAATCACGAATTTGTTGAGGCGGCTAATATCAGTTTCGGCTATCTCTGCTGGTTGGCTGAAAGTATGACTACCGGGATGTTCCAACCCGATAGGATAACCTGGACCCATCTGCATATCCACTGCAATGTAAATGGGGCAAGGGCGTCGCCAGTTGCTTGTTATTAACCAGACGAGAACGCAAGATGGCAGCCAAAGGATTCAGATTTATGAAAAAAAACTTTGCTAGAAGGCCGGCATTTCCATTCCCACAATAATCAGATCTACGTAACCGAACTCTTCAGAATTCTGCTGCTACAACAACAACTTTCAATGAATCCGTTATGAGCAGTTACCCAACTAAGTGTTACAACGAAGCAGCTTGACGCTATTGATATCAGAGAACCCTTGCCTTTGAGTGCACTGTCAGCAAGCTTTAGATCTAGTTATTGTTTACTAAGCAGTACATCTACTGTTTTCTTGATCTGGTTGTCTGAAACTCGCGTATAATGAACTACCGACAGAAGATTCCCCCTAACTAAAGATAGCTTAGATTCATCCCGCTACACTAATATGCAAAGAAGAAACTACAAGGACTTGGCTCCAAGACGCAGTGATCTAGGTTATCAGTGAAGCAATCGACATTACGTAAGATATCCGAAAGTCCCTGTTTGTGATCCCTGGTAGTTATAATAGCAATATTCTCTGCAATGCACATTCTGAAGCTGAACCTTCTTCTCTCTTAATGTAGGGTTCAACACAGAAATTGCTCTCGGCATAAAATCCAAGAAGATCTCAGTGGAAATTATCTTATATATGTAGTGAAGAGGTTTTCGTGGTATTTGACGATCATTTTTCGAACAATGACGAAAAAATCTATTGTGTACTCTTAGAAGAATTCTAAAAAAAACGAAAAATTAAGATGCCTTATTTTATTCTGATAAGGTGTAAGTAAACGTTTTGTCTGACATAAAAAGGTTGTGTGAAAACGATGTTTCGAAAAAGAGACTGTCAAACTTAAAGCGTGATTTATTATCAAGTAAAACACTCACCTGACAGAACTTGATGAAGTTTTCGACAACTATCGATTTATCCGAGAGCGTCATTTGACCGGTGAAACGCACACCCAATTGTTTCAAATTTTCCTTCTTCTTCGCCGGCAACTTATTCATATGCTGGAATATGCCCTCCTCCACCTTATGCGATGGATGCACATCAAAGTTGTCTTTGATGGTGAAGGTAGCCAATGGCTTGGGCGCGCTAGCCGCCGAACTTGAGTGTAGCAAAGCGAAATCCGAACTGCCTGTGGCGGCGCCCTCAGAAGAAGTATTCGAGTTGGAAGCGTTGAGGTGTGAGCTGGGAAAGGCCAAATTGGATACCTCCATGGATGATTCATTTGAGTTGGAACTATTTGTAGCCGTAATGTGATGCATATCGAAAATGGTGTGTTTGGAATCATGATCGAAGACGTCCAGCGCATTGGCATCAAGGCTATTCGAAGTGCGCGATACGGAAGACAATAGAGCGGCGGCTTTGCGTGAAGAACGTGACTTATGCGACGTGCTACTATCCAAATCGATCAAGCTAGACGACGATGATGATGATGCTTGCGCTTGACCAGCTGAGGCGTTGCCAGCGGCAACATCACCTTGCGGTTCGCTATTATTGTAATCGTTCGAGTGACGCAGGTATTTTAGGAATTCAAAGGAACCATCGAAATGCTGTGCACCACTCGGATTGGCAGCAATAGGCGCGCCCGATTGATTGCTATTCTGCAATTGTGTTATAGGATGTGGTGTGCCGGACGTGGCGCTAACCATTGGACTCGCACCGGCAGCTGTAGTCCAACGCTGTGGCGTTGTCGGATAATTTGGCGTCGTCGCAGCTGTTGTCAGGTGCGGTGAAGCGAGGTGATTGTGTGGGTGAAAGGCATTGCTGGGAGCGGCTAGACTGCCAGGTGTGTGCGGTGCATGACCGGCGTAAGGATGTTGCGCATGTGGATGTGGATGCGGGTGCTGTGACAGATGAGTATTGGGATGTTGGTGTGTATGATGTGCGGCATGCAAATGTGCGCCATGTTGCAGCTGTTGCACGCCGGCCGGTGCCGTATTGGAAGCGTTGGCGGGTGTTAATGCGGAAGTGCTGGCCGTTTCCGTGCCGCCACAATTACCAATGGAATTCATTGCGGCCACACCATTATTATATGGCTGTTCAATGCCGCTTGGTAACCCCGTTGTGTTGGCGCCAGCGCTTATATTGGCATTGTTGTTGCTACCACTATTACCACCACCACCATTGTAATACTGTTGTTGTTGCTGTTGCTGCGATGCTGCCTGCTGCGCTGTTAATGATGTTGATGAGGCTGCGGCACCAGCTGCTGGCGATGGCGACCCTGGTGACGTGCCAGTGCCCGCACCCGAGCCGAACACTTGAAAATCCTCGAAGGACGAAAACTTTAACTCGCCATTGCTCAAATACTTGGCGAATTCTGATGAATCGTTGAGGGAATTGAGGAAGAACGAGCTGAAATTGCTGGATATGCAGGACATTTTCGTTTTTCTTTTTTCTGATGGTTGTTGTATGTGTGTGTTTGCGTTGTTTTGTGTTATTTTTCTAATTCAGGCGCACGCTTTTTGTATGTCTGCGTCGACTCCACACGGTTTTGCTCCAGCCTGTGTTTTATGCGCCTTTCGCTTGTGTTTGTTGTTGTTTATTACTTTTTTTTTTGTTGTGTGGGTTTGTCGCGTCGTGTTTGCGCGCTGTGTGGCACCGTGTTGTGCTGCTAGTGCACTGTTGCTTTATTATGATTGTTTTGTATTGGATGTTTTTTTTTTTGATTTTCCTTTTTTTTCACGTTGTGGGGGTCACGCGTGTTGTTTTGGTTTGGTAGGTGGAAGTTTGTGTGTTAACGTGTTAATAATACTGTTAAGAATACCTACGACCTTGTTAATTTCCACTTGTTTTTTATTTTATTTTTTTCGATTTTTGTTATTGTTGCAGTTTTAAAGCTTCTTTGCATTATAGGAAATATCGGTGTTATTTTATTTACTATATCTTCATTGTTGTAATTAGCACATAATACACTAAGCTTAGCATGTAAATTTGTTGTTTTTGTTATTACTTATGGATTATTATATACACTAATTTTACATCATTTAATTTGATTACTTGTGGTTTTATTTTGTATTTTATGCTTTAGTCTCGGTTCGACTGTACTAATTAGTTTAGAAAATGGCACATAATTTGTTGGTCTTCCCGTTTATGGAAAGCACGTAGACCAGTTTAGTTTATTGTTGTAATTTTCAGCAACGTTTCAACTTAAGCTACATATATTATTTGTTAGTTTTAATTTATAAATTTTCTTTTATTTTTATTTTTTTAATTTTAATTCTTATATTTTTTATATATTTTTTCTTAACTAATATTGTAACAACAGCACTTCACAATTGCTTAAACTTAATATTGTAAAGAAAGCACAAGTGCATATACTCAGCACATGCCCAACAACACCACACATATACTAGACACACACGCGCGCATATGCCTATACACAAATACTATTGCAGACGCTTATACCCCATACGTCGCTTTAATTCGATTTTACTTTTGAATTAACCACACACATGCGCGCACATTTGAACAATTGCTTGAGTGATTTTATTGTAGTTTTTGTTATTGCTGTTGTTGTGGTTGTAAGCGTGCGCTTCCTTTGCCCCGCCTTGACGTTGGCGTTGACGTTTTGGTTTGGTTTGGTTTGAGAGCACACACACGCTTTGCTTTGCTTTGGCTATGCCTGTGCCTATTCAATATTCAATTGCACTTTCTTGTGCAGATATTTTCTATTCACTAACACCACTACAACTATGTATATACATATATACGCGTACAACAACTACAACGGCCGCTATCTATTTTCGCTCAATTTTCATCGCTTTGCGCTGTATGCTAGTATTCGTGTGCGTGTGTTTGTGTGTATTTGCTTCCACTTTAATTTTAAATATTAAAAATTATGAATTTTCTTTCGCCACTTTTCTTCGCTTTACGAAAACGGCTTCGTCTCGTCGCATGCCGACGCGTCGCTCGATTGCTGTCTGACTAGCTGGCTTGTCGCGCAATTGTTGGAAGTGTGCCTCTAGCTGTTTGCTATCGCTATTTCCCCCCTACTACTAGACTGTGTTGTTGTTGCTGTTGCTCCGGCCGGCCCTGGCGTGTGCGAGCGTCAAGCAGGCAGCAGGCAGTCAGTCAGTCAGAAAGGCAGTAAAGCCGCAGCGCAGCGTGTTTCAGTTGGATTTTCACTTTAATTTTCTTAGTTTTCTTTCCGTTTGCTTGACGTTTTTACTTGTTTCTGGCCTTTTAGCTGTGAGGTTTCCTTTACTTTTCGCTTATTTTTATTATTTTCTATTATTTTTATTACTTTTGCCACATTTCTGCGCCACAGTCGTATTTTATTACATTCGTTCTATGCCGTTATGTGTGTATTTTAATTTTTATAAACTCGTTACGGTTAGCAGCGTACTTAGTTTTCGGCTAGTCTTTCTATTTTATCTGTGTCTAGTCTGCGCGTTAGACGAATTTCTTTATGCCACATTCGAGCGTTCTTCAAATGCTTGTTGCGTGTATATAATGCTGGTATTTTGTGCCCGTAACGCTGTCATCAAGCGTTTAGCTGCCGCTATATTTAAGTCCTGCTACCTCAGCTGCGTCTTCTACGACGGTATATAGTATATGCTGCTGCTTAGCGCCGTGTCGCATGTTCACAATGCTCAATGTATTGCAACTTTCTATGCGCTGCTTACCTTCCACAACTACTTTTCTGCGTCATTAGTTGTGTCTTGTTGTTGTTGCTTTGCATTTTTCATACCCATATCCGTTTGTATCTGTGTAGTAGTGACGACCTGCGATACTGCACAACTAGTATGGCCACAAGTTTCTCCAATAATTTTGCACTTTTTGTAGACAATTTTATTTTCTGATTTTTATTTTTGGATGTTTTATGTGTTATTTGTTCTTGCTGACCGCAGCAGCGCACTAAATCAACAGCAGCAGCAGCCTAAATCGTATCGTAACGAGACGAATGATTTCAATCGAGCTCAGTCGACTTCGTAACGAAACAAAATCGTATTGTGTTTGCCGCTTAAACCGAAAATATTGCCGTCACGCACCGTACCGCACAGATCTCGTACTAAATGTGAATCTGTCTGGATATGCTGAAGGAAGTAGTTAACCGTAGGCAGGCAGCGACAATTTTGAGGATTTTGATTTCACACACTCACGCGCGCTGCTCGCACACAACCGACGATAACAACGGCAACGACGATGACGACGAGGCGATGAGTACGCCGATGACGACGAGTTTTCTTCTGCCTCCGGCTCTGCTTCTCTTTTTCCACCGTCGGCTTCCACTTCCTTCGTAGTGTGATTACGCGTAAGGCAGGCAGGCAGTCAGGCAAGCAGACAAGCGCACGCAGTCAGGGAAACAACAGGCACTAGCTTAACGAAGCAAGACGTTCCGACCGGCCAACTGTTCAGCCATTCTCCTGTGCGTCTATCGTTGTTTAAAGATATTTTTTTTTTGTTTCTTTTGTTTTTTTTTTGATATTTGGGTAGGTAAGCGTCGTCACACTCGACACCAAATCGTGGAGGCAGTCAAATTCGTTGATTTTACACGATGTTTTGTTGTCGCTTTACGGCAGCGTGCCGTATCGTCTGTCTATTTCACTGGCCAAACATAGCTAGCACTACATAACCAAATACATATTTTTAAGTCTCTATGTAGTAGTATGTGCGCCGCAGCCAGCTAAGGAAAAACGTGCTTTGATTATGACGACGACGACAACGCCATCGCTATGTCAGACCAACGCTCGTGGTACGCTCGCTCTCGGATCTCGCCGGCCGCAAAGGGGTGTTGCTCAAATAGAAATTTATTTAAAAAACAATTTTTCTGTTTAACCCTTAAATGCCGCGCGTACCGTCTCCAAGCGGTCGTCACTCGGCTGAGCAAATAAATACTGACTACTGACTGACTGAGTGAGTTTCGCAAACTTAAAAATTTCAAACGCTTTGCAGTCAACTGAGCTCTGTGGCCCAGCAAACCTGACCACTCAACTTGCTCGCACACAGCTTAGAAACGCTCACAGCGCTGTAGTTTTCGATTCTGCTAGTTAGTAGTGCTCGGTGCGTTTTTATTGCTCTCGCTGTTGTTGTTGTTCGCTGGGGGGTATGTGTGTTAGCTTGTGAATTTGTGGGGGTCTTTTTAGTGTTTTTGGCGTGTATTGCCTTGCCAGGCTATTTGGCGCTCTGCTTTTGCTGTCTCTTCGTAGACAATTTGTTTTGACTCGTTCGGCTTTTGCCTTTTTGGGCTGCTCTGCAAGCGCTGCGGCTCTGACGACTGCTCTCTTATGGCGAGAGCGCTCTCTGTCAATATTATTAAATAAAAAAAGTGTAGCAGCTGCCCTCCTTTGGCGTTCGCACTCATTCACTGTTTTGCTACGTCTTTCGTAAGGTATATCTCGGCATATACCCTATTGCATATGCAGTTATGTTGGTTGTGTAGTTTAAATATTTCAAATATGAAATTCCGAGGCGGTAACGCAGAATGATTTGTCTGGTTTAAGCAGATAACAGGAGGACGTGAGTTGCCATTTGCACCTTTTGGTGGTCAAGTGCTGAAATGAGAGATGAAGGAAGGAATTTAGTTTTCACATAAATATTGCTAAAATACAGAGCTTTTAAGATAGGGCGGGTCGTGTTAATGTTGAAAACAATGTCATTATTGGTGTATGTGCAAAAGTTCTTGTTTCTCATTGAATTGAAGACGGTAAGAATTCCAACATATCAAAAAATAAAATAAATTATGGGAAGAGGTTTCTTCGTTGTCCAAATTTTCTCCCTACAGTCCATACAAATATAAAGCGAAGCTCCTATCATAAGAATTCATCCGAAAGATTCTCAGTCATCCGAGAGCCATTATGTGAAACCCTCTTTTCGGTTCCCATTTATGAGCTTCACATTGTTGCACTATCACGTCGATGAGAGAGCTGAACGATATTGGACCTAAGTGGTGTATAGGTTAGGTTAGGATAAAAGGTCGGCCTAAGATGGATTCCACTTGGATAGCTTAGAAAGCCAACAAACTACTAAACACTGGATCATTAGACCTTACAGATCGAAAAAGCGCTTGCGCTTGTCACAAATTTGTAGAGACAGCGAATTTCAGTTTCGGCTATTTCTTTTGGTTCGCCGAAGGGAAGATTACCGAGTGGTTTCAGCCTCAGTCTTACAAAGGCTGGACAAGGACAATGGAGGAGAAAGCGTCTGGAAGTTTCCACCTCGCCCTTCTCTATGCAACTTTGATAACCAGCGTCCGACAAGATTTTAAGCCTTACCGCATGCCTATTGAATGCCCAGTGTCTAGTAAAAACTCCTACAATTGCGGTAAGGTGAATTTTGCTTGGGACAAGTAGTTCAGTAGATGTCGTACGTTTTTTTCTAGTAAAGACCACAGTCGCACAGGAAATGGTCGTCGACCAGCGCCTGCTAAGCGCTCCCGAGGTCAATTGGTCCAGTGCGAGAACGCAAGACGCTAATAGAGATCCAATCCGGTCCCATTCGGACATGAGCGGGCCAAGGGTGCTCCCTCTGGCTAGCTTATCAGCTTTGTAATTTCCAGCAAATTCCGCTGTGACCAGGCACGAGTCTAATGTTGAAGGAGTTTGAAGTTATTTTTAGTAAGGACAGACCGTGTGGGGCCTTAGCGGTAAATGTAATGTTCTTGAGAATGTTATAGTTTTGGCGAACGTATACAAGGTTCCAACAATTTGGATACTTTACAAGGAGATTTCTAACTTATTGGTGCGGTGAAGCCAATCTGGATGGACGTCTAAGTGATGGCATTCTCCATTTTCAAGATATCAGCCCTTTCTATCTCGGCAATTTTAGAAACCAAATAGCTTATTTTATAATTTTATGGAATCTATTAAGATGTCTTGGATTCTGTAAGCTATATGTAAGATGGTTCCGAACACCATTCAGCTTACCTTCATTTCTCATAAGAGATTTTAATGAAAAATTAAATGAAGCAGATAGACAATCCAGAGAACTATTGTTTTGAGAATATAGCACATTTATAATATTCGTAGATGTTGGATAGCATATGTATGTTATTTGAGTACCTACGAGGGCGGTTCGATAAGTACTTACTCTCACTGGCGCCGTTATCGCAAGGGAAATTTACTATCGTGTAGTACTGTTAACGGCTACAGCCAAAACTTCAGTAGAATCAGAAACGTAATTAAAACGGAAGAGAAATCTCGCAGTGAAATGATGACGGTCAAAAACTAGTTTCAAAAGTTTTAACCTGGCTGCCGCCCAAATCGGCTACACGGAAAATAACGTGACCAAAGAGACGATCTTGTACTGTCTGCCCGACGTTTGAAGGCGTGGAAATTGCGTATGAGAAAGTTATCGGCGCACGAGGAAAGTAATCTAAAGAAGATTTTGCGGTGTTTCCAGACATCAGACACCAAAGAACAGTTGGAACAGTGGACTTTCGCCAGTGCATTTGTTCCGAAGAACGCGGAGACTGTCCTATCGGCCAGAAAAAACAATGACCTTGCCTTTCTGAGACTCAAATGGAGTGATCTATACTTGCAGAAGAGTTTCTGGGGTGGATTTTAGACGGATTAAACACGTTGAAGAACCAATGAAACAACTAATCGAACAAAACTAAATGTATAAGAAGCAAAAATCTTTTTTTTTTTTTAATTTTTTTTTACTATGGACAATGTGCTTTACGTGCAGCGTTCGTTTATTTTAGTTTTTATTTTTAGCACCAGACAGATTAACAGTATTCCAACCTTAAGCGCATTTATCAGTTGGAAATGTATTTAACGGTATTATATGCTGTAAATGATAGCAGCAGAGTAGGCTGACTTAAAGTCTTTTCAACGCTAATATTTCTACAAAAATATGTATGCAGGTGTGTGTGTTCGAAACTTTGTATATTATATTTTGTTAATTCGCGCTAAATTAGAGGAAATTTTTTTTTAACTAGCTTATATTTCTACCTATTTACTACTATGAACTAAAAATAGTAACGTTTTTTTATAATCTTAAAATTCTTAATATATTCTTTAAAGTCTATGTGGGCTGCTTTAAAACAATCCCCCTTGAATCCAGTACACTTGTGCCAACATTTTCGCCAATCCTCGAAACAGTTGTTAAAGTCAATTTTCGGAATAGCCTTCATTGCTCATAGCGATTCACGTTTAATGTCTTCAATTGACTCAAGCCGGTTTTCCAGGAGCGGTCGTTTGAGTTTGCTGAGTAGCCAAAAGTCACACGGAGCTAAATGAGGCGAATACGGTGGTTGCAACACGATATTGGTGCAAAATTTGGCGATAAACAAAAGAAGAATGAATGCAGCATGCGACGGAGCATTACTGTGGTACAAAAGCCAAGAGTTGTCGGCCCATAATTTCATCCACTTTTTACGAATAACTTCGCGCAAACGACGCATGATACTCAAATATAATGTTTCTTGTTGGTAGTTTGGTCGGTCGGATGGAATTCAGAGTGCACCACACCTCGATAATCGAAAAAGTGTCAACATAACCTTGATTTGTGACGTACTTTGACGAGGTTTTTCCGACTTCGGCTCATCGTTTTCACAATATTCGACCGATTGATCGTCTGTTTCCAGGTAGTAAGCATAAATCCAAGACTCGTCGCCGGTAATAAGACGTTTCCAGACATCCTTGTACACGAAAAGCATTGCCCCACAGCCTTTAACGCGACGCTGCTTTTAAAAAAAAAATTTGTGATTTTGGAACCAATCGTGCTTTCACTTTTCTTAGGTCCAAATGATTTGAATTATTTGTTTTAAACAAAACCACTTGCTCGGGACAAACATCGCCGAAGGCCTTTTTCAACATTCTGAACCGATTTTTTACTTCAATGGAGCTAAGCTCAGAGTTGAAGGAGCAATATACGGTGGATGTCAGTGTTAAATTGGATCCAAAGATATAAGAAAAGGGTTATCTCTACTGATGAATTAAAAAAAATTGAAATCAGTCCCATGGAATCTAGTACGTTCGGAGGAGACCAGAGAAACTTTAGCACACAATATATGGTTTCTTATATACTTTTGGATATATTGACATTATTAAACACTTTCTCGAGCCTGCAATGGACGCCTTCTTTCTTGTAATCACCGAGCCAATCTTTCATGGTGATTCTGCGTATGTATTCCTAACTTTCTGGACATTTGTCGGAACCGTAGATATTGGAAAACTATAGCATATAGCCTAGCGTGGGTCAAAAACAGGGATATTTTTTTTGGCTTGGAACTTGGGAGCATGGAAACGAATTGTCATTTCAGTGAATTTTGACAAATGATGATTTATATTTTTTTGCCTTTACATTAAACATAAATTAAATGCATTAAACGTTTCGCTGGTACCTTAAAAAATATTTCCTAAAAAAATCCATTCAAATTTTAAATCAAACTTCTATGGTTTTCCGAATTTTGTATAAAACGCCCTAATATCTAATATGCCATCGGAACATGTATTGGCAGATTTCTATTTATTTGCATACATACATACGTACATACACATAACACGTCTGTATGTCTGTTAATAGCAGAAAGTAAATAGTTCCACCACACTTTCCACACAACGCCCAATCAAATATTTACTGTCAACCCTTGCCATATTGAGCTGCAAATTGCGGTTTTAACACATTCAAACGTTACCTTTTCCGCTGCGCTGGGATTTTTTTCATTTGTATTTTGAACTGCTCAATTATGTTTATTCGTTATTCAAACACCAGGTATACGCATACATACGTATGAACCAAATTCACATACTCGTACAGATATGCACTGTCCGCATACTGTGGTCACTGGAAGCACTCAATCATTTGTATTTATTCTTCACTTATAAAAGCATTTAAGCATATGTATGTAATTTTTCAATTAATTTTAATTATAAACTTAATTAGGAAATATTTGAAAATTGTACACAATTGGGGAAAAGCTCTCACTATCGCACGCGCTCGCATATGGACCGTCACATGAGCGAAAGCGATGGCAGATAATAGCACAACGAATAAAAATAAAGACACTTTGTTTAAAATCAAAATTAATTCACACACGCTATTGCCGTTTTGCTGTTGCTGTCGTCCACCGTCATCGACAAATCGCTAGCGCAGTGCTCCTACCGCAACTGAATCGGATTCATCCAAAAGTCAATCCAATGCTGGAGCAAAATGAGTGCCGAAGCAGCGGAGAAGCCGGCGCCGGCGGCGCAGCAGCGAATGACAGTGTAAAGTTTGGTACATACATATGTATGTATGTTTGTATTTGCAGCTCTCCGATAATTTGTTTATGCGGTGTGGGTCTCTTGGCTATTATTCGCCACAAGAGTAAGCTTTGCGCTAGTGAGGTGGGTCGAGTCAGGTATTGTCATTATCACCCACTCTGTGGCAAAAATCATAGTAAATATGTATGTGAGTGACATAGCAAATATATTTTGTATTTTACATTATTATTTTGGGTGGAAATATTACAAATGTCAATTTATTGACTTTTTGAGCTTTCTGTGTGCTTTGTATGCGTTATGAGAGGATTGTAAAGAGAACAAATTTTATTTAAATGTAAAAGGAAATTTTTAATATTTTTCAAAAAATTTTAAAAATAGGATCTGATGTTAAACAAGATTTTTCTGCTCACAATTATCTCAAATCTTAAACACAAAAAAATGTATTTGTACAATTGATGAAGGGACTAGTCAACTAGACAAAAAAGCAGCTTGTCAAAAATGTGATTTTTATGTTACACTTCAGAGTGACTTGAAATTATTATCAAAAATCTTAATCCTTCGATTATTACCTCTCGAAGACATACATATGTATACCTAAGAAGGTCATGTGAAAACTTCCAGCCGATCGGTTCCTCTAGCCGTTTTCCAAACAAAGAAATTCTTCACAGACTATTAAAACAACGCCTTAGGTTCGAATAACGCATGTTTACAAATGATAAAACGGAAAGTGAATAGTTCGGAATCGATCAGGGTTGTCTTAATTCGCTTCCAATCCTTCTTATTTGTTATTGTAATAATCCATATTAGCTATTGTTGGCGAGTTGATAGTCCGACTAGTTAAACTCTTAAAGAACACGAGTGGTATTTAATCCCATTAGCCTGTGGGTGCACAAAACTTAGTGTTTTAGCATTTCCAATAACAAAACAGTTCGGTTTGGATATATGTATATTTTTAAATAGTTCAACTACTAATTAATTAAAGTATAATCACTAGTTCATATATTTTCAAACTGAATATAATTTCCAATTACAGCTTTTATCTATGCATCTGGCATCATTACGAACAGCTGATAAATTAAAAAAAATACACATAAAGAAATGTCAAAAAAACAGCGTGTAAACTAAACATTTCATTTCAATATTTTTAAATAATTAACAAATATTTCGCTTTTCAAAATGAAATTTGTTGTAGAAAATATTAGCAAGTCTTCGGGACGCCTCGGGCATTTGGTACAAGTGGAAACGGGAAAGCGTTTTCGCACACCATTGCTGGTACAAACAACTAAAGTGAGTGCTTAGAGAAGATTTACACTGTTGAGATGTGACTTAAAAATATACACCATTATAATGTAGGCGGGAAGCATTCCATATCTTAGTCGTGAGGTATTTGATTATATTACCAAAGAGACGCCAGCTTTGCAGTTTTCATTATCTACCATCAATCATATGACGGAATCACTTAAATTGTTTGATGGCACACTTGGCGCATATGTGGGCTATCCACAATGTTTGTCTTTATTGTTAGTCAGGGACACCTGTACGACAACACCGAGCGGACATAATGACAAAGACATAATTCCACTATTCACGAGAAGGGGAAAGGAAATGCTGACAGCGACAAGGTAACTACATAAACTGACATTATATTTCATCAATATCATAAATTTTTCCTATAGTTATATGGATGCAGTAGAAGTTTTAAAACCAGACATATATCAAGGACTTTGTGATGCTGATACCAATTTAGATAGCGCCAAAAAGCGCATAACGAAGTCTGTGGATAGAACAGGACAATTTATGGATCTTTGTTATCAGCGACATCAAAACTCAACAGTATTAAATAATAGCGGTTTATTCGGTAGATACGGCATTTTAGTTTCTGTCAGTTAGTTAACTAAGTTTCTGTTTAAATTCCAGTTCCCATCGTTGGAGGCTACAGCACGTTAGCGCGTTCCGATTCTATCAAACATGCGAAGACGAAAGGTGAAAGTATTACCAGTGGTTATATTTTTGAGGGATTTCACAACAATGGACTCGCCGCCACGGAAGTGGATGTTAAGCAGCTCGTGAAAGTGATGACTCATAGTTTGAGTGAACTAGCCGTTGAGAAACCAAAAATGATGCCGGGCGCGTATACACCACCCGCAATGTTGGAATTAATTTCCTTAGGCGTGGATATATTCGACACATCATATGCATATTGTGCAGCCACCAATTTCAAAGCGTTAACATTCAATTTTGATTTAACAAAAACTGAAAATGGAAACTGTTCGCCATTTTTGGATATAACTGCTGATAGGTAGATAGTTGTGCGTTTTAAATTTAAAACTTAGTTATTACAATTTTTAATATTACAGTTTGAAGGAGGACTTTACACCTCTGCTGACAGATTGCGATTGTCTGACGTGCAAGAAACATACGCGCGCTTACTTATATCATCTTTATAACACGAAAGAAATGGCTGGACCTATTCTGATTATGATGTAGGTTTTTAATACATTATTGTTATGTGTAAATTAACAAACGGTTTTCTTTTATTTTCAGTCATAACTTGCACCACATGATGCAATTTTTCAATACAATTCGTAATTGTCTAGCTGACGATAAACTATCTGATTTGGTTAAATTAGTTAAATATCAAGGACACGATGCGGCACTCGATTATAGTATAAAGCTCAATACTAAGGCAATTAGTCGAAATGACCAGGGCAAAAGTTTTACAGTAACAAAGGATGATCAATAAAAAAAATTTAATTTAATAAATTCGTTTAATATAAACTTCAGATATATTTTAATTTTTATCAAAAATGAAAGTTTTTAATATTTTAAATGTAGTGTCGAGGAGCAGCAGTATCCTTTTTAGTGTACTTAACGTTGTCCTGTTTATTTATACATTTTTATATAGATGTATGTAAATGAAAAAATATACTTTACACATTCTTATTTACTTACCAAACACAATTTATTGTAATCATTTTCTACGCTTTGAAATACTCGTAAATTTCCTTAAACACATCGCCAGTGTCATTCTGTATTTTAGCTAGCACTTCTTGTTCTGTAAGTCTTTCGTACAGATTTTCATCTATAAAAACAATTTTTTTTTTTATATTTTCAAATATAAGACTTTCAACTCATACCTCCAACTGTCACATAACCAGCAACTTCACAAAATCCAATATTATAGGTATTCAAGTCTTTAACGTAACAAAATGATTTTCGACAAAACACAAATACTTTCAACACCTTTTCAAAATTTCCACTTCGATTGGGAGTTAAAAATAAGTTGTGCGGAATATTGTGTTCACACAGCCAATTAATAAAGTTAAATAGTTTCTGCATTTGTGCATTCAAAGCCTCGTCGTCTGTAGTTTTGTTAAATAAAAAGCATATCGCCTCTGTTGGCATTTTCTCACTTAAACGATAAATATTTGGTCTTTCCAACAATTCTAATTCCTGTAACAAAATTTTTTAAATTTTTTTTTGAACTTAAATTTGAAAATAAGCTTTTACCGCTTTATCACTATATAAATCTGTCGTAACATAGAGTAGATGTAAATGTAAGTGATTCACCGATGCCAAAGCACCAGGACTATTGTAACCAATACGAAATGCCTTTTCCTCGTCCTTAATGTTTAGTAAGAATGTTATACAAAATCTCAAAGCTGGAAGTGTCAAACGTTGTGGTTGTCCTGCTGCCACATCTGGACATATTAATGTATGATACCGTGTTAATGGACTCTTATTGATTATCATTGAAATAGCTCCTCCTTCGTATGGTATGTTCATTAACAACTCCAACGATTTAATCTTTTTGAAATTGAAAGCCTTTTCATCAAACACTGGTTTCAAACTGCTTATAGTCTGCGGTAAACGTCGTAAACGTGTACGCTGTGGATTATACTGAAAACGCAAGTTACTATTTGAATAGTGAATTCTTAATTGAGCCATACCTCCATGTATATTATCTCATTCCCCTGCAGATATTTAGTTTTTATAACATTTAATTTGTATGCAAATACATTGTCAATGTTATGCAGACTTAACCAAATCTGTTTTAATTCATAAAGATAACTGTTTGCGTTTGCTTTTAAATCCATTTTCACGTAGCGCTAAGTGTAAAATGTTGAAATAATTTGTTAAGTGATAAAAACTGCACTTTATTTACAATTTTTAAACAGCTGTGTGTACGAAATATTGTCACATTAATTTGCATTATTTTTTTATTGTATACATAGCCTTCTAAACTGTACGCCGGTAAGAAATGTGTGGTGCGGAAAGCGAAGTCTTTACTATGAGCTAACAGATGTCGCAGTTGAAGCGTAGGTTTTATAAAATTAAAACTTGAATTTACACAATTTACACAAATAATACTATTTAAATACAAGTATATCACATTTTTTATGTATATGTTTTTTTTTTGAGGTTGAATATATCAATTTCTTCATTTATAAGATTTTGGGATAACTTTGTAGCATAGCAGTCAAAAATATTCAAATTAACTTTACTAATAACAATACTATAACTTTCATTTGTTTAATTATTTCAAAATCATTAAAATTTGACATTTATTCCACAAGTTTGTTTAATAAAACCACTTTTGCATTAAACTTTCCACTCGCGACGCTACTAAATAATCGGATTTGTTGAAATGGCGCCGGAAGTTTGACACCACAAAGTGTTGCCACATCGTGAAAAGCGGGTTAGGGTGAAATAGCAGAGTTGTAGTCGTAAAATGTAATAGCTCAGTAGCCATCTGGTTGACTTTCAAATGGTGATATTTCTTGCAGAGTGTATTACTTTACGAAAATTCGAAATTTTTTGAGAATATTAATACCAAAAATAATATTTTATTATAAAATCTATGTACATCACTGAAATTTTCATTTTTAATTGAAAAACTATTCAACTTTTCTTCTTAAAACTTTTTCAAAGCGAATGCAGCCCTGTTCGTAATTCATTTCAGTTGGCGTCCAATTGCTGCTGTCAGTTTCCGTTGGCGCGTGTGAAGAACTTCAAGCAGTTGTTTGTTAAAAATAGTTAATTTCTTTTAAAAGTGTTTATTAGTGCGGTATTTTTGCAAATGTGTCGATAGTCGGGTGTAAATTTTAATAAAAATAAGTGGAAAATGTGTGCGGGCGTTATTGTATGTATGTGTGTAAAAAGCTTAACAATGTTGCCTGGCAGTTCGGGCGATACGTGTTGTGTTAATTGTAAAGTGTGTGAGAGTGTGTATTTTAATCAAAAATATACTAAATCGCTTTTAATAAAATGGATGGATGAGGACTACAAAGTGTGCATGATTTCAGGTGAGTGCTTTTCAAGTAAATAACAAAAAATCCCAATTAGAATTTGCAAGTGCAAATCGCCTGAGAAGGCTGCTCGTTTGACTGCAAAAATGTGTGTATGTATATTTTTATATGGGTATATGCAAATGGCAGCCAAATGTGCCGAAAAATTTACGAAGTATGCTGAAATTACATGCAGGTGGCTTCCAATCAGAAATTGTGAAATTTTTTTAACAAAATATTTAGAGCACATTGGATAAAGCGAGAAATAATATATTTTTGTATTTTTATTTTAATTAAAATTTTCGGATATGTACAGACAGTGCTTTCATGATAATCTTTAACATATTATTATTCGACATGAATGAATATGTATGTATGTATGTATATGTATATGTACGAAACCAAATGCCTTTAAACCGCAATGAACCCTCTTAAATTAGACACAATTCGGCTGTTATGCCCATTAGACCATCCACAGAGGTTCCTTCAGCCATTAGAAAAAAGGAAGAGGTAAATAAAAAAAGTAGAAAGAAATGTTTGTTGGTCTTTATTTTTTTTAATAATTAATTTTTTTAATAATTAAATTGACACAAAGGTTCCTTTAAACAAAAAAAAAAGAAAAGTATATGGCGATATTGGATCGGTCAGAGTTATTATAATTTTTTTTTTTTTTTGTTTTTTTTTTTGTTTTTGAAGGCTGAAGTAAAAAGAAGTTTTATACAAAAGAACTAAGGACATTACACTGCTGGTGTGGATAGATCAGGTTTTATGTTAAAAAAATTTTGTATTTTAAAAGTATTAAAAAGAAGTTTTAAAAAAATGTTAATTAAAAAGTATAAATTTTTTTTCATTATTTTTAAATTTCTTCATTTATTTATTGGAAATTTTAGTTAAATTTCCTCAAAACTATTTATCAAATTTTAACTTTTTTTAATAAAAAAAAACCCAAAAGTAGACACAGGAAATTCGTGTCTTATCATATGAGAGAACTCTGTATACATTTTGCACCTTATCTGACGGCTGACCTAATCAGAAGTATTGCTCATTATTCACATGTAGCTACTAAATAATTAAAAACACAAAAACACAAAACCACTTTCCAAATAAACGGTATTATTTAATGAAAATAGTTGACAGCATGGAAACCAAAGTAACTAAGCATAATAATTTTATGAAATTTGATGAGATGAATTGTTTTTTGTAAAAATTATGCGTGAATATAGAAACCCTCGTGTTCATTTTGTTCCACTTCCGGTTCCTTTTTCTTCTGGAAGTAAGGGTTGTGTTCGGGATCCGAATTCAAGCTGAAATTGAAATAAAAAATGGGATAAAGAAATATAATAACAATATAAGTAATTTACAATATTTATTTTTAAATTCTATAGCCAAAAATTATAAATAATACATATGTATATATTAAAAAATGTTAAACAAATATAAAAGTATTAAGAAAATACTTACTGATAGTAATTGACCGCCTCTTCGCATTTAACATTGTACCACCAATCGCATGCGAATTCTTTTTGATTGAAAATAGTACCGTTAGTGCAGAGAAATTCTGCGCCTTGATGACCCTCGCGTCCGTCGTGACAAACATGGTAGGCCTGACAGCCGGTCTCAACATTTGCATACATTCCCGGCACAGCTGGCACATTGGCACAATGGAAATTCGTGTGCGGCACTTTGTGATAAATCGGATAGTCAACACCTGGTACACCGGGTATTTTTGAGAGATCTTGTTTTTCTTCTCGGCGATGCTCTTCGGTTGGTGGATGGTAGAGGTGGCCGTAGGTCTACAAATAGTTGAAATAAAATTAATATTTTTTTGCAATTATTTAATTTGGAAATTTAGAGAAGAAATATGGGAAATATTTCTAGACATTTTTTTTAAAGGTCTAGTTCATTTTTGTTGTAATAAATGCGGCATAATTATTTCTAATTCAATTAACGGTTCTATTGCAGTTATTTACGTAGTAAAGCAAGAAAATTTCAACTTTGATTTATTGGCATTCTCCAATAAATCCAATATGTACTATATATTTTTATGTAACATGTTTTCAGATTTTATGTTTTATAGAATGGTACGAGTATAGAGTTCTTCAAACGACAGTGTTAAAATCCGTTTTGTTTTTTTCGTTTTTATGGAGTTTCTGTAAGGTTACGCATAATTTAATTAACAGATTCTCAACTGTAAATGAATTGGACAGCTTCATCGGTTCTAATAGAATTGATGTCTTACTAACTTCAATATTCTCAAAATTAATTTTAAACAAAAAAGGGAGCACTGAGTTCAGGTGCAACTGAACATTTTATACTCTTGCAACTTGCATGGATCAACGCTGCGGAAATATTTACCTTAAATATCATCACCAATCTAACATATTGAAGTAAAATCAGACGGATTTTCGAAATTTCTATTATTAGTTATATAAGGACTAGATCCAGTTTTCGCACAATTTTATCTATTTTATACACAAAGGCACGCTGTTATTAAAAGTATGTACACGCTCTCTCAGTTTTGTTACAATAACTAATTTATTGGATGATATATGCGGTCTAAAATGACCTGAGAGTTCGATAATCTTTATATTAGGTATATGAGGCTAAGGGAAGTATTTATCGGATTCAAGCTATTTTCGAAACACAGATATACTATTATCAGCAAAGGATTCTCTCTGAATTTCAATTATATATGTATCTCACACATTGACCGCTATCTTGGATCAAAAGTCAACTATAAGTCTGGGGTCCGCACATTCGATTTTCAGGGGCTTGAACTGTTTTGATTCGATTTGAACAATTTTTGGTCAATAGTTGGTATACTTCAATCGCACTATCTTATCTCGTACTATTAATTGTTTCTTGATCACGTTCATCTATGAAGTCGTCCTTATTTCTTTTGCCAAGAAACACTTGTACCCAGTTTCATCAAGATATATTAATTTTTACTCAAGTTTTCGCTTGCACAGACGGACCGACGATCCCTCGGATTTCAACTCGTCTTATCATCTTGATCATATACATAAATATGTATATATATATAACTCTATATATAGCTTGATTATTTTGAATTGATACAAATAATCGTTAGATGAACAAAACTCTGTTGCAACATGTTGTAAGAGTATAATAATTTTAATGCCCGGTTTTACAGTTCATATTTAAGCTGCGCTTAAGATAAAACAGGAAAATAGTGTTTTACAGTTCATACTTGTGTACTGAAAATGGAAGACTTAAGTAGTGCTTAAGTAACAGCTGATTTGGATTTTGTGTTGTTTTGAATTTTTTGTTATTTATGAAAAAAAATAATAGGAAAGAAGAAATTATTTATTGTGAAAAAAATATGGAATCGGATTAGGATAGATAGATTCCGATAAATGCTCCGACTCGCTAGCGGTAAAATTCGGATTTATTTTGTTGTTTTATCGATATAACTTTCCTCGAAAAGTTATGTATTGAGTGTTTATAATTTAAATATTTCAAACATACATATTTACATATATGGATGACATTTGTAAAACATATGTTGCCCTTTACATTGCCATATATCATGATAAAATTTTATAGAAATTAAACATTGATTATGAAATGCAAACCACTACTCAGTCTGCAACAATGCTTAGCTAATATGTTATTTGTTCACAACTTAAGTATGGACTGTGAAACCATTCATAAGACTTTTTCTTTGGTTACAATTGCAAGTAGGTCTTTCTTCTTCTTTATTGGCGCAGATACCGTTTACGCAGTTATAGCCGAGTTTACAACGGCGAAGGCTGTTGTTTGCTTTTAATTCGGGAAAGTTTTTTTGTAGTATGTCTACCCTGTGGAGGGATGGTTCGCCTTCAAACGGAAGAATGTGAGTGTCTTATTAGTAGTAAAGAAAAAAAGAAACGATCAACAACAGCTGGATGTGTAGCAAAAACAAAAGATTTAATGATATTTTTCATAAAATCAAGCTTTTATAAAGAACACATTCTGCTTTATGCAATCGATAAGATCGTACAATTATGTTAAAACATAAAAACAAGCATCGTCAGCTAATCGGTGGTGGTTCGGAATTTAGAAAAATTTAAAAGAGAATTTACCGTTAATGTTTTTATGCTCTAAACGAAATATATTTAGTTCACTACGAAGTTTGTAACACTCAAAAGGAGATGTCGGAGACCCTATGAAGCATATATGTGTATAGATATATGACCAGCATGACTACTTTAGTCGATTTAGCAACGTCCCTCAGTTTTTGATATATCGATCAAAAATTTTGCACGTCCTTTTCTCCCCAAGAAGCTGTTCATTTGTCAGAATGGTCGATAAGATGGAACTATAAGATATAGCTGCAGCTACTAACTGTGAGATCCAGCTGTAGCGCAAACTTTGTTATTTGAAATTATTATACAAAACAATACTGTAATCTTTGTATAAATCGCTTAGAGCGGACCAATATATCATATAGTTGCCATTCACAACGAAGAAATGCAATATAAAGATTTTCTTATGCTATAAAAATGCACCTGTACAGGGTATTATAGCTACGGTGGAACCAAAGTGATCATTTGTTTTTGTTTAAATTAATTTTTATTTTATTTGAAATTTAACATTTCCACTAATTGCTTACTTTTCCAATCGATTGCGATTCTTTTGCGCAAACTGCTTTGCCCGATTATTCCAATTACAATCGCTTTAACGCTGCACTTTCGCTTTCAACTAACGCTTAGCGCAGAGAAATTCATATACCATATTCTCATAGTGGTTGCATAAGCGTTTTGCAAAAGAAAGAGCTTAAACGTGCGGCCCCACCGATATTCGTAAATCGATATGTGGAGCATTCAACTGCTCCATTCACCGTTTGGTGGTCACTTGGCCAGGCATGCGCAATTGAATATGCAGACCGGTTCCGCGGCACTGCACAAAATATCGTTTTTTCGACACATTATTTTCAAATCATTGCAACTATTAGGCACATATCAATGATGTATTCAAAAAAGTTGTTTTTTCATTTTTTTGCCATATGCATTGCTCCACTTTGACTTGGTCGGTTGTTTTAATAGACGTTTAATTTGCTTTTGGGTCAAAAGTGAATGCCTTTTTTACTTGCTGGGCATCAGACTTACTGTTACAATCACACTAAATCTATATATGTATAAATTTGCGAATATGTGCTTTATTAGCTAAATCTGAGCCTGCAGTTGTGAGCTATTGTTTATTGGATTAACCGCAAAGGTAAAGTATAAATTGGTTAAAATTAAATAACGGCGCTTACAAACGCGAAGGTGCTGTTTTTTATTTTTATTTTTCAGAGTTTTTTATATCACTCACCTGCACTTCCACCGCTATCGATGCCGCAAGGTATGCGCATGCAAGCAATAAGCTGCAGCACAATGTCACACGTTGCCCATTCATTATTTTAATTACAACTCTATTTTTCAGTAACTTTATAAAGCAACCAATATTAGTTCGTATTTAATGCTGAATGAACCGAGTTTTGAATTTCCCACCGTCTTCGCGCAGCTTACAATTGAAACTGATCGCCGATCTTCTAAACTCCAACGATTGTGCCAACAACTGAAGCTGAACTTACCAACTAAAGTTTCAAAGTTTTGTGGTTTTTTCTTCAGTGCAAATCCGTTAGATATGTAGTAAAGCATTTGAGTGTGTGTAAGTGTGACGCAAAAGCTCATTTGTAGCTGCAAACTTATTTTTAAAGTTTTCGAATATAAATTTCATAAATGTAGATACTCACACTTAAGTAGGGATATACTTGTATGTATGTATGAGTCTAAGCTTAACTGTTTTCTCGTCTGCAAGCATAAATATATAAACTATCAGCCCATTTAATGGCTTGATTGTGCGCCTACAAGTATGCAGTATTAGTTTAAAACCACTTAAAAGTCTCGCGTTTCGAAATTGTTTACTATATTTTTTCCAAAATTTAATGTTTATTTAAGTAAAATGCCTACAACACTATCATTCAAAGTATTGCTCATCTGAAGATTTAGCATTTTCCTATGCTTTTGGCGATTTTTGGGTTGCATACCAAAAGAACTGCGTCATCTTGGCTGCCAGGCGTGAATCAAACCATTTTTTAATACACTATTTTGATGAGAACCGTATGTCAGTGAAAGCCTTTTGCATCGACCACAATAAATGGTAGTCTAAAAGGCAAGGTTGGCGCTAAAGGATGAGTCACGCAAAACTTTCAAAACACTGTTTTCCAAATATGTAGCCTTTAACACCTGGTGGGTAAAATTTTTTGAAAAATTGGCGTCGCTTTGTAATAAGTTTAATGTACATATCCCATAACCGCTTCAGACACAATAACCAAATTCGACCGGAATAAATCTCTTAGACAATTCAAAAATGGATGAAATGAAATGAAAATCACACCCGCTCCACATATAACGGTTCTGTGAATGAAATTAAAAGTGCGATAAATCAATAAATAACTGCGCCAGAAACATAAAATTTAGTACCCGTCATTGTAGCGGAGTACTTTCTAGGAACCGCTCTAAAAATCGACGATAGGCGTGGCTTTAGGAGAAATCACATATTTCGGGACACACCTAACCGATTTAAACCAAATTTGGAAGGTGGCCTTATTCTGATAATTTTATATGGTAGTGCGAAAATGGACGAAATATGACTACAACCACGCCTACTTCCCATCTGGCACAATTTTAAATTCCATCTAATTTTTTTCACTTTTAAATGTACAAATTAAGTGCCAATGAAATGACGGGATGAAACTTTGCTCAAAAACTGCTTTTCAATTGTAACAGTTTATGACTGAAAACTATCCAATCGAACTAAAACTGTTCAAGCCCCAAGTACCGATTTTATGTCTACCTTAGTTCCTGTCGCGAACTTGTTACCGAAAATATGGGTCAATCTGTAAGGTATATTATAGAAGCTCAGAAAGAATTATTTTTTGATAATGAAATGCTCGTGTGCCAAAAATAGGTTGAATGGAATTAATAATTCTCTCAGTCCACAAAATAAGGTGACATTTGGATTTGATTTGGAGATATATTTTTTTTTTTAGTTTGGAAGTACTGTCAGTCACATTTATGTGAAATTTCATGTCAAAATATTCATTAGTGTTTGAGATACGTGTCGTTTTGTGAGCTGCTAAAAGTGAGTTTTTCGTTTTTTGCGATGTCGAAACTCAACCCATATCGTGCCGCAACCACCGTATTCACCTGATYTGGCGCCGTGCGACTTCTGGCCGTTCACCAGGCTCAAAAGACCGCTCCGGGGACACCGTTTTTATACGATATTCAAGCCGCAGCAAAGACGGCACTGAAGGCCATCCCGGAAATTGACACTACAACCAGTGTTTCGAAGATTGGAAAATCCGTTGGCATAATGTACTACATCTACTGGGGATTACTTTGAAGGGGATGAGATTGATTTGGAAGAATAAAAAAGAATTTGGGCACAGAGATTGTTTCCGGCTACTTTTAGACGTTTTGAAATGGCTTGTTGAGTGGTTTTCAGTTTCTCATCCTCAAATTTTTCCCCTATACTATATTTTATGAAGACCTTTATATTGATTTTGCTCGTTCAGTTTGTTTGCAAGCTGTATCTTGTAGTGACCAATTTCGGCCGTTTCGCCAAATGAGTTCACGTTTATACTGACTTCGTATTTCCCATATAAAAATCTATAATCCGTTAGGAGTCCATTTGAAATTTGGATAACCCTTAGTTTTTGGTATGAAGCCTTTGATGCGCGGCGAACGTATTTTCAGCTTTTTTTGAATTTTCTACTTGATTGGATCTAACGATAGCAATTTGTTTCATATTACCAGAGTGAAAAATCCTTTTCATATGAGACATTACGATCTCGTTCAGTTATTTCATGAAAAATATTGTATTTTTCTAGCCTAAAAATTATTGTTTTTGCATAATTCATCGGAATTATAATCTACTTTAATGAAGTTTTTTTTTTAAATGTAAGAAATTTAGTTTATCCTAGTAGTCTTGTCTTGTCGAATATTGTGCAAAAAGTGGCTTCATTTAAATTCAAATGGAGCATCAGTGATAAATATTTTATTTATTTTCGTTAGTTGAAGAGGAAGAAGGTCGTCCAGAACGAGGCCTATCTTCAACGATCTCTGGGCTGTTTTTGCACCACTCGTAGGCTTCCAACATTCGTAATGATTCTGCACAAGAAATTTGATCTACCGACTGAAGCAGCTGCTGTAAACACGCGTGCTGACAGTTCGCGCTCATATTTGGCAAGGTAATTAAGGACAGTCTTACCAACTCAGCAAAAAAACATTATTTTCAAATTTCATTTACCCGAGGAATTTAATAACAATTCGCGGGTACTTATCGAATGACTTCATTTTAATTCCGTTCATAAAAAAATAAACCAAGGCGGTTGATGCGTTCAAAACGTTTTTGGAGATCCCTCAATCGGAGGGAGATCCGTTTGATCCCAAAGTGTATAGATTGTGAATTTTTTTTCCAAGTTACCGATTTTGTAATAAATATATGCAAAGCTAAAATAAATGGTTTGTACAACTCAAGCCAGTCTCATGCAGATTAAGATTATATTTCCATATCGTTTTTGATAGCTCGAGTTTCTAGAATCACTAGCGTTCGTCGACTCCCACTTAAAAAGGATGATTTCGAATATTGATAGCCGGTCTTGTGTATCAAATATTTAATAAAGCAAAATTTTAAAACCCGCCAGCAAGGATAAATTTTCGAAGTGAGTCCTTGTTTGAAGACTTTACCATAGACTGTCTAACAAAAACCTTAAAACAAAACCACAAGACTTTCGAAAATTCTCGACTATTCTTGAGTTTTCTATAATATAGCAAATGCGAAATTAACGAAATCGGCAAAAAAAATATAATAAAAATATAAAAAGTTATTTACTTTTCGAGACACACTTGTAGTTGAAGGCTATTTACAGTCAATAGTGTCAGTTAAAGTAGTAAATCTTTTCACATTTTCGTGTGCTCATCTTACATGAAAAATTGCTTTTGTTTATTAACCAGATATTGTAAATTTTACTCAATAATTAATTTATTAAATTTAACTGGACACATAAAATTACAAATGGAATTTTAATTACAATATTCGAGTATGATAAATGTTTTCACTTATACTCGTATTTATGGAACTGTTAGTTGGGCATTAGTTGCAATGTATACAAAATGCAGTGGCATATTTTACAAGCATATGTACATATTATGTGCATATAGACATGTGTTAGGATGATCATTAAAAATCATGGAAATTGTTATATTACAGATGTCATGAAACTCAAATACTATGAAAGTGTTATTATGATCAAAGATTCATAAATATATTTATTTAAGTAGGGACTGATGATAGAAAAAACGATTCGGAGCGAGGAGTGAAAATTTTAGACTCTTATATTACTGATACTCAAATATTAAAAAAATTTTTTGTTTAAAAATAATGATAGAAAATATTATTTGGTTTCACTGCTCTCTTCAGGTTACCCTCACCATACTCAACTTGAACTAAGTTTTAAGCATACAATTTTCGACTGAAGATGAATGGTTCGATATAGGTATCACTTTAGAAAAAAAATTTTCAAAATGAAAATTTTCGAGGAAATAAATAGTGTTTAACTTTTTTAAACGTCAGGCCCTTAAGCAAATCGTTTCCAATTTTTTTCAAATAACTCTTTTGACTGTATACAATTCCATCAGCTCAGAATACAAATAATTTCCACAAATATTTGAGGACCACCCTAACACACATATATAGATATATATGATTAATGTTGCAGTTTTGTGAAATATCTTAAATTTTATGTTTCAAGCCGAAGCTCGCACCTCCGCTGTAAACTGCCGCACTACCCTCGTGCAAATTGAAGTGGTTAAAGAGCTCATCAAAATCGTTGAATAGCTGAAATAAAAGCGAAAAAATAAACACTTTCAATTACACACATCCACCGTTAATGAGCCTACAGCGATAATAACTCACATGTGCCGAGCTATCCACATTCGGTACTAAGTAGTCAAATTTGTTGGCGCTCCCTGACGACAGCGTCGCCGCTGCCACTGCTCCGCTTGGTGGCACTATTGGCGTGTTGATAATGTTGAAATTCTGGTATGCTTGGGTCCGATATGCATTGCCATGGCCTTTGTGCAGACTCGGTGTTATATTGAGATATTGTGCTGCAAAATTTTAGTGTCGGTAATAAAGCATTTATGAATATGATTGTAATGGAGAAATAAAAATGTACTCTTCTTCTTGGGCTGCAGCTTCACTTGATTGAGTTGTGAATTGTGTAACTGTAGTTGTCGGTATGTCGGATAGGCGCTCTTCGCGGGGGTTGCATCGGTTAAGTGTCCGTGTATTTGTGGATAGAGGTAGGTGGTCTCAATCGACGGTGCATTCGGCTGATGATATTTGCCTTCGACGGGCGTGTAACGACCATCCGAGCTGAGCGCTATTTGAAAGAGCACTCTGGGACTTTTGTCGTGGTATTGATAGACCTAGAATAAATGTGAATTAACATACACTACCTTGAAAATGGTATGAATAAATTATAAAAATTTTTTAGCATTTCGACATAAGGCGGAATAATTGCGTTAGGGATGGGTGAATAGTGTTTTTATACTAATTTCGGTTGGAGAAGAAAAAACTATCGTTCCACCTTGGTTTTGCACATGGGATTTGACAGCCGCAGTTCTATGGCTAGTCATACCTTAAGGAGGTCATCCAATGGGACCACCAGCAAACAAATACGGCTTTAAGTTCATTATCATTTATTAAGGCATCTCATCATCATCACAAAACTATCGTTCGAAGCATGAGTCTCAGCGTTCTGAATACCGCTGCCTCGAAAAAATTTGCGCACTTCCTTCCTACTTTTTTCAATAGCCCTTTTTTTGATACATCACGCGTGAATTTTGTCAAGCTGTCATGTTATTTTTTTTTTTCAGTATTGTTTGGCATTTCATCGTAAAAAGACTTACCTGAACAATGTTACAAATTGTTCAACTTTGTTACGAAAATTCACGTTCTGTAAAGAATGTTTTTCGCGAGCTTCGCTCAACTTATGGTCAATATAATCGCCCTACACCTAACGCCCATATTGAGACCCAGCATTCATTATTAGATAATATTCGAACGAATAGAGCACAAGACCGTGAAGGAGTCGATTAGGCGCCATTCGCAGCAGCTCGAACTGACATATGGAACGACTTGGTGGATATTACGTCGAGATCTGAAATTGAAAGCGTACAAAATACAGTTTGTGCAAGAACTGAAGCCGCTCGCCTTTCCCAAGTTTTCGAGCCAAATTTTGTTCACCGATGAGACCCATTTCGGGTTCAATGGGAATGTATTATAAATAAGCAAAATTTTCGCATATAGGACAAAGAGAAACTTAGAGAGCTGCCATTTCATACAGAAAAACAACGTTTTGGTTTGTGAGCTGGGGGAATCATCCGTGCATATTTCTTCAAAAATGATGCCGGTGAGAACGTAGCCGTCAATGGTGACCGTTATCGCGCCATGATAACCGACTTTTGATGCCTAAAATTGAAGCTCGTGATCTCGGCGACGTTTGGTTTCAAAAAGACAGTGCCACACATCGCATCATCAATGGATTTATTGAGATAACACTTTGGTTAACAGATAAGCGATTGGTCAAAATCGTGCGATATTACAACACTATACGTTTTCCTGTCAGGGTATGTAAAGTCTAAGGTCTATGCGCACAATCCCGTTTCGATTCAGGCCTTGGAGCAAAACATCAAGCGTGTCATTCGCCAGTTTCAAAAAATAAATACCAAATAATGTTCTTTCAAATGAGAATAAACATTCCCCAATATATTTTAGGTTTCTTTGCTTTTTCTTTAAAAAAGTAGGAAGCCTCGAAATGGATTGCACCATATATTCCTAATTTCCCCATCAATAGTTTTTAGTTTATAAACTTTTTTCTAAGCATTCTTCAAGTAAAGCTTGACATTTAAACAGTCAGTTTGAAGTTTTTTATTCTGTACACTTACTTGCGGATTTCGCTGTTCAGTCACTACACCATCTGGTACAGAGATACCATTAGATTGCAGTCGATTCAAAAAGAGCCGATCGGTTTCGAAAGCTGTGTCGGGAATTTTGCCGCCGGCATGAGGCAAGACTTGTTCACGGTATATTTGACGCTTCTGAAAAAAGAAAAATAAACAGAAAAAATGCATAAAATATAATTTGTTATCACAAAAATATATTTTATATTATACGTGTACATTATTTATACCATATTATAGTATAATATTATTCAAACATACATATTTGGTGTAAAAAAAATTAGGATTAAAAAATCTTAAACTATTTAATATTGCATATTATAAATTTAGAATCATATTTTTTTTTGCAATGTCATATTTAATAAAAACTTAGAGTTTTATTAGTGTCTAAAATCTCTGCTTAACTTTAGATGATGCAATAATTTTGGCTTGACAGTTTTTGCTTAATTTTAATGTATTTTGTCACATTTAATGGAAGCGTCAGTTATGATTTTTCGCTGTCACTTATTAAAACGTTTTTAAAATTTTTTATTCAATTTGTAATGACATCATCGCTGGTTGCATACATTAAATATTGGATTAGTGCAATATTGCATAATTTATGTGGAAACTGGTTCATATAAAAGCTTTTTTATAGACAATTAGTTTTGGAAAAAAGTTACTAAATATGCATGTATGAGTAATTGTAAAGGGTGATATATTGCGGGGTTTTCTACTTTTTCAAAGAAAATGCACATAAACTTCAAATATAATGGGGAATGTTTAATAGTTTGTGGCATATATTTTTTGAAGATTTTCTCTTTCAAATGTTGGCCGCGGCTACGTCTCAGATGGTCCAGCCGTTAAGTTCAATTTTCGATGACTAGTTTCGACTGGTATTAATTGGTATTTTGTTATATGTTCTGAATAGAAGCTGTGTTTTCTCAATAAACCCATTGATTTATGCGATGTGTGGAAGGTGGAACCGTGTTGTTAAAATGAAATGTCGCCGAGATCACGAGCTTCAATTTCACGCATCAAATAGACGGTTATCATAGTGCAATAACGATCATCATTGACGTTTACGTTCTCACCGGCATCATTTTTGAAGAAATATGGACGGCTGGTTCCAACTGCCCATAAACCACAACAAACCGTTGTATTTTCTGAAGGAAATGGTAGCTCTTGAATCTCTTTCGTTGCTCTTCCTTCCCAAATGCGATAATTCTGCTTTTTTACATACCCTTTGTGCCAAAACTGTTTTCAATCGCTGAATCGACTCTCCACGGTCTTCGCGTACACTCTCAGTTACGTCTGCTATATTTTCTTCACTGCGTGCGACGGTGAACGTGGTCTCTTCGGTCGAATATTATCCAATAATGAATGCCGGGATTCAAGATGGGTGATGGTGTTGCGTATAGTACGCTAAGTAGGCCGATTATGTTGACCATAAATTGAGTGAAGCCCTTGGCAGAACATGAATTTAAGTAATAAAGTTGAACGATTTAAAATCGTCGTTCAGGCGCAAGTCTTTACATGATGAAATGCCAAACATGAATGAACAAAAGTTACATGACAGCTTTTGAAAAAGAGCCTATACTTGCATCATCCGTTTTTTTAATATTTTCTTTTATTTTTATATCATATGGGTGAAATTAAATATACAGGTACTAAACATTATTTATATGGAACAATGCATAATTATAACGATATTTAATAGATTTTTGCCCTATATACGAGTACATATGTACTGAAGAGTACAATACTATGTATTTTATATTAATTTAATTAAGTTGGAAAATAGAGAGCAATATGTGGTATTTGTGAATGGCTATATTACATATTTAGCAATTTACATATTTAGCAGTTTAGTACTTTATGAACAAAATTGCGAATTTCAGAACTTCAGGTCCCGGAAGAAAATATTAAAATTTTTATGGTTTAGAGTTTTAATTCAATAAATAGAAGTTTCTCAATTATCCTTCTTCAAATTTCATACAGTTTAATTTATAGACCGCCAATATGTTATTATTATAATTATTATATACAACATATGTAAATAGTTCAATTAAAATTTAATTAATCCTTCTATAATCTATTTTGTAGTTCCGAGAATCTTTTTAAAAATAGTTTCGGTCAAAATTTAAAATCGTAATAAAAAATAAAAATGAAAGTATCAATACTAAATAGCGGTTTCAAAAATAAAAAATATTTATCCCAAAAAAAAGTTTTTTTTCCCAAAAAAAGTGTTTTTGAATTTAGAATTATTTCGTTTTTAGTTATCGTTGTAAAGCTCGTTTAATAATATGCTAACATAGTGTAGATTTTTTAATTAATTTAATTATGTATAATGTAGAAATTAGTAAATCTTCACTATTCATTTTATTTCTTGCTGCAATGTTTTAAATTTAAATATTTTATAATTTTTTTATGTGGTATTAAACATTTTTAATCCCGATTTTGCAGTTAAAAAAGTAATTTAAAATTTTT